TTCTATTTTAGCACAATTCTCTAGAATTGGACCAATGTTGGTCCTGTTTTTTCTTTTTTTCTTTTTTTTTTTGGTAAGACCAATGTTGAATGTCTATTCTACGCTGGTCAGATGATTAAATTCATAGCTCTAGTCACTATTTTGTTTAAATTTAACATAATTATTTTAATTTTCTTTTAGTCTTTTAAGCAATTAAGAGCCGAAGTAAGATTCTCTTCAGTAGGGATAAAGAACACTGTTTCCTTTTCAAAACTTCCAGGTAGAAATTGGTGTTTTTAACAAAAAAATTTTTTGTCCACTTACCTTTTCTTATTTTTACTTGATTTTTGGTTTTGCTAATACTTATAGATAAATGTTCTTTGTGTGCATATATTGTGCTCTTTTGGCATCTTTGGGTATGAATTTATGATCCATGAGGCTTTGTAAATGAGTTTTGATTTTCTTTAAAGTTACGTGTTTTAGTTATGGCCCAAACTACAAATCTTATTTAGCTATGTGGGAAAAATGTGTTTTCAAAGTGCATAGATCTGTGATTATTCTTTTTCTTATCCATGTGTTATTCTTTTTCTCAATCAATATTTTACAAACTTTCCATTTCACTCCCTCTTTTCTTTTTTGGAGGGGGTGTTGGGGTTGATGGAATCATCCGTTGAACATAATATTTATATACATGGATGGAGTAGTCCAAAGCCACCATAGATTGTTTTGATGGTTTACGCATTTCCCTTTTATTTGCCCTGAGCTTTTTATAAGGACTCTACCAGGCCTAATATTTTCAAATATGACATATTTCGATTTATATCTTTGATAGGGTTTTCTCATACATATTATTTAATAAATTTTCAAAAAAAAAATGTTTTGAAAATTTGTCTTCCTATAAACTCTTCAATTTCGAATATTCCTTTCATTTGTCTCTCCACATGCTGGTTAATAAAAAAATATATATATTATTTATTTAGTATCACTAGAGTGTATTTACATTTTTGTTCTTCACATTTGTTATATTATACCTTTTCCTTTGGTTGGTTTTGTGATTGTTGTTTCAACAAGCTCATAAAAGTAAAAATTGTGTCCACTTGGTCCATTCAGTCATTTCATTAAGTCAATTGTTTTGGAGTACTAAAAAAGGAAGAAACTCAAAATGCTTAAACCTTGGATCTTGCTATCGGTAAAGATGTAGAAAATTTCTTGCGACCTTAAATCTCTTTTTACTGGCAATGCTATCTGACACATTTGTACCTATTTTGTTGCAATCAACTGCACCTTCCTCTAAACAGTTTATCCATGCATTTTTTTAGGCCAATAATGTTGCAACTTTGTCATTTCTTTTGCATGAAGTGAAGTTGATTTGTTCACACCAGATGTGCACTTGGATTTTAGAGTTGGTTTTCACAATTGGCTAAATCATTGAAGGACACAAGTTTAAATTTGGTACAACAATTGGAAGGACAATGCATAAATCTTGATATACTATTTGAAATCTATAGGTGTTCAAAAACAAAACCAAGACAATTTTATTATGTATCATGATGAAATATTTTCAGATAGTAAAATATTAGGGCTTACTCAAAGAGTATACATGAATGAACAAACAAAAAACCTCAACCACAAATAAGTGGCAATTATACAACAAAAGCTTAAAAGCAATCGAAAAAATACATATATGTTTCAGCCATAGAAAATATTGTTTCACATTCTATTCATAATTTAATTAATGGTCCTTAATAGTTGTACTCATCTACAGGTAGTTGTGAAGGGGGCATGCTCAGTATCAAAATGAGAGAATGTAATTAGAACAAACTATGTGGGATACCAAGCTTGTGGTGTAAACATAAATTTCAGAACATGAAACTTCATGTTTCGGATCATCTACCATGTATATCATCAAGAAAACAAGACTAAAACTTACCCGAATCCATCGATGAACGGCTAAACGGAAGTGTCTGATTGTCAATAAAACCTTTGATATTGACTATGTTATTGCCTTCTAATCCTTTCCCCTTTGGTGCCTTATGTTTCTCCTTGAGAGGATTTAGAAAAAAAAAACAGTTCCACTTGGGAAGGAATAGGGACCATAACCTTTTAAAAGTTGTAATTGGTTTTCAAAACTGAAAGGTTGTGGAAGTTCAAAAGGAATGAACAAGAATAGGAACCAAAGCTCAACCAACCTGTTCAGCACACGCCCAAGACATTTCTAAACTCAAACTCAAAGAGCTAAAGGGCGGAAATATAATATCGACAACAACCATCATCCACGGAACCGAGTCTGGAATACAATAAACAAAGGAGGGAAAACCCGAGATCGCTATAGAGGGAAGCTAAAAACTTGAAGATTAAGTAAGGAGTTTGAAGGATTGTGAATCACAACTCAAGAATTTGCTAAATTGAGCTCAATTGCAAACCTTAGGTAAGCTTTTATACCCTAATTCATGAATTTAGTTATGTATTTAGTGATTACTTAAAGATTATAAGATTAAGTACAAGAATTGACTAAGATTGTTGATTTTAGAGTTAATTCATACATGCATGCATAGTTTTGTTGAGTTCACCATTTTTGGAGCATAATTCATGCTTAATTCCATGAATTACAAAGTTTTGAAAATGAATTGCATGTTTTTGAAGCTTTGGAAAATAGTATGGAAACATTGATACATGATGAACATTTGGTTTGAATCCTTGGGATATTGAGCTTTAATTTTTGCAAATTGGCTTTGTATTCATGTTCTTGGAAGATTTTGTAAGTGTTTCCAAAGTTTTGTCAAGACATGCAAGAAATTGATTTGAAATTACAAGCTTTTAAGCTCAACTTTGTTATGAATCTCCAGAATTTTGCCTCACCGCTCGACGAACAATCCATTGCTGGAGTGCACATTTCATGCATCCAACATTTCTCCATACAATTGAAGTTGGCTCAGTGACCAAGTCACCGCTGGAGTGACTGCCTTTACCTTACACCTTGGCTTGAGCAAACATCGAGCACAGATTTGGACCATCCATACTTTTGCAAACCAAGTGATTCGCTCGAGCGACCAATGTTGCGCTCGAGCAAAGTGCTCTGTTTCAGCATACTTTGAAAATACATATTTTGATCAAATGTACACAACTTCTCAACTACACCCCAAAAACAGAGCGGTATCACAAAAAAATTATCAATGATCTCCAAATTAACCTTAACCCAAAAGGCCACTCCTACCTTTGATCAAATCAAATGTACTTTGGCAAATCCTTCTTATTGGTTTTTCTATTATAGTTTACAACCAAAAGGTTTGTCACTTCATATTAAGATGCAAGTCATCAAGTAAAAAAAACATAATTCACTACTAAGGAAAAAGAGAAAAATCAGAAAAATTTTAAGAAAAGAGAAAAGAAAATAGTGCAAGGTGAGTAAATCCTAAGACCAAATGCTATCCCAAAAGATTCGGGCATTTTCGTCTGTTGTGTTACTTGAAGTAGCTACTAGATAGGTAGTGTTATGCTCATCCCCTCCATTACTGTCATATTCATATCTATATCAAAAGAAAAATAGTTTTAGATATCTTTGTTGAAAAAAGTAACACCTGGAGTCCAGAGGTTAGAGATAAGTAATGTAATGTTAGTACAACAAGACTAATATGTTATGAATTAGAAGAACTAATAGTAGATGAAAAATATATTTTGGAGTTAATTTTCCAGAAATCTAAAAGCCACATGTTAGATAATGTCTAATGGGACCACATAATTAAATGTGGTGTTATCATTTATAAGAAGCCTACAATTTAAGTGATTCAATTTAGTTAATAGGTTAAGGGATATGTGTTATGACCTAATGTGTAGATACTAGTTGAGTAATTTCTATTTCTATGAGGGGCAGAAATAGAAATTAAAACCAATAATGGTTAAAGTTGGTTTTCATTCCTTTTGAACTTCAACAACCTTTCGGTTTTGAAAACCAATTACAACCTTTAAAAGGTTATGGTCCCTATTCCTTCCAAGGTAAGAAAATAAGAACACTGCCATTTTTTTTTCTAAATCCTCTCAAGGAGAAACATAAGGCACCAAAGGGGAAAGGATTAGAAGGCAATAACATAGTCAATATCAAAGGTTTTATTGACAATCAGACGCTTCCGTTTAACCGTTCATCGATGGATTCGGGTAAGTTTTAGTCTTGTTTTCTTTGATGATATACATGGTAGATGATCCGAAACATGAAGTTTCATGTTCTGAAATTTATGTTTACAAGTGGTATCAGAGCGGTTATATCATGTGTATTATCAGAATAGATATGCTTTTATTCATCCTATTTAGTTTCCTGGAATCAGATTCTGTTTTTTGTATTTTTGTTTTTTTCCTCTGCTGCAAATTCTGTTTTGTCTCGGAAATAGAACATAATTCGATGGGCGGTTCATTTTTCAAATGGATAAATCATGTGTTTAAATATATATTATGTATATAATTGGGATTGCTGCAGATTATATAACATATACGGGGTAACAAATTTAGAAATCTTTAAATTTAATGTAATTTCATACAACGTCTACGGAAATTTAATTTTCTAACATTCTCAATGTAAGTCAATTCAAACAAGATGTCACAAAAGTGATCTCTCTTGTCTAGATTGTTTATATGGAATGTTTTGAAGTTCTGTCTGTGTATCTCATGCGGGTATTTATCGGTCCAAAGACATGATTAAGACTTGCAGAATTACACACACATTTTGTGGTGATAAACTGTGCCAATTGTCAAGGAAACCTAATGTGAATAATAAATCCATCAAAAGATAGATTTGTTATTTGACATAACTTATTGTCAATGTTTGATCATTACAACAAGAATACCACTTACAGTTAATATCACTACCCAAAGGCTTGGTATTAATGTTGTGCTAGGTATCTTGAGATGTTGTCATTAAATTAATTTATTTAGAGATTATCTGTTTGGTTACTTAATGTGAGCATAATTGTTTATTCCCTTTATTTTCTTTTCTATTTAGCTTTAATGTCGATACTTCAATCTCTGCCAACATGAACAATGTTTCAATGTTAAATGGAACAAACTTTAAGGACTGGAAAGAGAACATATTGATTGTTCTCGGTTCATGGACATAGACTTGGCATTAAGGATGCCAAAACCGAATGCTCTCACTACACAAAGTACTCCTGAGGAAACTGTGTACTTTGAAAAGTGGATCGTTCTAACAGGCTAAGTCTTATGATCATGAAGCGTGGGATTCCAGAAGTTTTTCGGGTGCAATAACAGAGGATGTTACCGTTGCCGGTGAATTTCTTTCAGAAATTCAAAAGCGTTTTGCTAAAAATGATAAGGCTGAAACAAGCACACTTTTAGCAAGCTTGATTTCAATAAAGTATAAAGGCAAGGGTAATGTTCGCGAGTATATCATGGAAATGTCTCATCTTGCTTCAAAACTTAAGGCACTAAAGCTCGACCTATCTGATGATTTGCTCGTGCATTTAGTTCTCATCTCTCTTCCTCACAAATTAACCAATTTAAGGTCAGTTATAACTGCAGAAGGAGAAATGGACTCTCAATGAGCTCATTTCATTTTGTATGCAAGAGAAGAGAGATTGAAGCAAGAAAGGACTGAAAGTGCTCATCTGGCAAGCACCTCCAAGCATACGGGCAAAAGAAAGCATAAGGAAAGGAAGTTGCTATTCCTCAGGGTCCAGAACCAAAGAAACAGAAAGTGCAGAGACAATTTCCATAGAGCACATTGGGACAAACTCCATGATAGCGGATCCACTTACGAAGGGACTATCACCCAAGGTCTTTCATGAGCCACTGCTCAATGGGTGTTGTTCTATTTGAGAACATTCTGGTTTAGTAGGAGTTTGATTTATATTACTGCTTTATGTCAGCCTTGAGTTTTATCTATGTAATTAGATTAATTTCTGCAGAAATGAAATATTCAGTTTTATACGCTCTGTTACGTATTGTTAAGTATTGATCTCAATAAAGTTAAGTAGGACCAGTTGGAAATAGGATGTATGGATCACATCACATGTAATTTCCATGCTACGCATCCATGATTGATCTATGTCATTTAGCTGTATTAGTATACGTGACCATTGGTGGGTCGAGTTACATTGATGTAACCAAGACCGCTTTGATCCTATATTAATATAGTTAATGGACAAGATTGTTTGGATACCCTCAAGTTATGATAACAAATTTCTGAGCTCACTAAAGTTAAGCACATTTTTCAGGATACATATGTGTCCAGTGGGAGATTGTTAGATAATGTCTCAATGGGACCACATAATTAAATGTGGTGTTATCATTTATAAGAAGCCTACAATTTAAGTGATTCAATTTAGTTAATAGGCTTAAGGGTATATGTGTTATGGGCCTAATGTGTAGATACTAGTTGAGTGATTTCTTTTCTATGAGGGGCAGAAATAGAAATTAAAACCAATAATGGTTAAAGTGATTTTCAT